AACAATGTTCCCAAACTTCGTTTAGGGAATTTCAATAACAGCAGCTTGAATAAAAAAAAGAGTTGTCCCTCTTTGTGCATTTTCAAACTATTGGTGAGTTTGATATATTCCAAATCTAATCTTCTCTCTTTAGCGTCAGAACACATCTTTTTCTTAAATCTTTTGAAAATAGGTGTGTGTGTGTGGGGGGGGGGGGGGGGGGGGTGTTAAAGATGGTATTACACGTATTAACACTCATTTGAATTTCGTTCTTCCTGCGTAATTCTAGTCAGTATGAATTAAAATATTCTTTGGTACATAATCTTTTTTGAAAACCCCAAAATCAAATCCATTGCAGGAAAGTTAACAATAGGAAATTAAAAACGGGTAACAACAAACAAAGTTCCTGCAATCTAATTAAACATCATTTAAAGTTATTTAAATTCTATTGTTCGCAATAACCACAGACATTGTGCATACTTAATTGGTTGTTGTATATGAAACAATCCGGGAAAAGTTATTCCGGTACAAGCGGTATTTTAGTCATGTTTCCGCTAGATGGCGTTGTTGGCCACATAGGGTATAAATACAAGTGAAGCGGCAGAGCTGTGTAAATTGCGAAGTTGATGCTGAAGTGGCAACACAAGCGGCGGACCATTAATGATCAGAGGTAACTTTTAGTTAATGATAATAAATAAATATTTAAAGCGTTAGACGTGACTGAACAAGTCTTTCCTGGCTTTAAATATTGTTTATTACCAAGAAAGCTACCGAGGGAGCCAGTAAGAGCCGAGCTGTAAGAGCCGGTTATCATAAGAGCTGAGCTGTAAGAGCCGGTTATCATAAGAGCTGAGCTGTAAGAGCCAGTAACCATAAGAGCTGAGCTGTAAGAGCCAGTAACCATAAGAGCCGTGCTGTAAGAGCTAGTAACCAGAAGAGCCGAGCTGTAAGAGCCGATCGCTTAGGAGTCAGCGTCACTTTGATTTATTGTACCTAATTGATTAAAGACAAGTAGTCTAAACATTTATCTGTATATATTGCTTAATCACATATTTGTATATTTTGATCCTGCCAGGTCCTCAGAAAGTTAACTGGGGGAATTCAGCCGCCTCTGCTATTTGTTATTATATTATTAGATTTCACGCTACATATAATCCGGGCCGCTACTGGTAAGCATGATTTGAAGTTTGTAATCTGCAAATGCTGTTCTATTTCAAAAAAAAATATGTGGTTATTATTTTGTCAATCTGTAATCACTTCTAACCTGTAAACTCTCAGACAACACTCGTCATTTTGTTGGATCATTCGTTTGCACAACGATTAAAGAAATTTGCAGGAAATGTTAATTATATTTAAGTTTTAGAATTCAAAGAATCCAAAACTAATATTGTAAAAGTAAGTTAAGAATTTTCTGAATTCTAAAGATGTCTACAGCACAATTATTACTTAAAATATAATCGAATCCCACACATTGCAGTTTGTTGATATTTTTGCCTTTTTTTCTCGATCTTTTTTTTTTCACATGAATTTAAACTGTTAAAAGGTTTTCGCAGTAATCCGATTACCATTTATTCATTCTGTGACAAAATGACGACAAATGTAACACAATGAGTATCGGTTTAAATCCTCGGCAGATTATTCAATAGATCTTTTTTTCACAATTGATATGTTGCATAATTTGTTGTAAGGCCAGAATCAATGGGCAGCATTCTGTATGTGTACTGTAAAAATGTGTGTAGATTCCAAACACTTTTGTAAACACTTTGTTGTCACCTTTTTTTAATTACAAATACACATAATTGTCAATCATTGCAAAGTATGTGTTCGATATTAACTATTTCTTCTGTTAAAAAATGGATCCTTCACAATACTCTCAAAATCGCTTAATGTCATATGAAGTTGCTCAGCTCTTTATAAAGCATCCGTAGAGTGCCCCTTAAGATAAAAGACTACGAATATACAAATTGTAATTGATTCCTGCTTTCCAGGAGGCGCTTCTTGCAGCTTTAGCAAATTTGAGACTTCTACGTTAAATTATGGAATATTTACATGTTTTAAGATAAGAGAAATCTATTTTACAATACAATGTCATGACAACGAAAAATTTTATTTGAGATTTCTGTAAAAACATGAGCCCGTGGTCAACGTATTGTAGTCGCTTTTTTTTTTTTTAGGGAAAACAATTTGTTTGATAAATATATAAAAAAAATTGTAATTGATACAAAATTAATTTTGTAGATTATCATGTTGTCTACATAAAATAATTAAGAAACGGTGATCCAAACTAATTAAATTCTTTTAATAATTTCTGTAGTTTGAATATAGTATTTTATTTTTAATTGTATTTGCTGGATTAATACTTAAATGACGGCTAATCATTAATTTTTTTTCAAATTGCAATTTTAAAATTGGTCGATGGTTAATGAAGAAAAATCACGAGTCCACTCCTCCTATTTTTGAAGTTGTGCCTTTATTATAAATGTTTCATAGAACAGCCTAAATTATCCGAGTAGGTAAAAATTAAAATTCTTCCTCAGATAATTTTTAAATGTTTAATTTTATCTAATAACAAGTAAATTAATATTTACATCTTTTAATATGCATTGAACATTATTTCCCTTTACCCAGTGTCTTCACTATTTTAATTAAAGATCGGTAAATAGTTTGGATTCGAGGCTAAAAAATTTGAACATGGGCAGTAGCAGGATATGCTGCATGGGTGGCTTATTTTTGAATTGATATCCCCAGTGGCTTTAAACTTTTAAAAAGCTTTGGAAACTTCAAAGACTTAGAGGGACTTTTATAGATAAGGGCTTTAATTTTTTGGCGGGCGTAAAGTAAAGGCAAAATGAACGTCGATCTTTTAGCGTCCTTCTGGCAGACCTAGTGAAGAACTAATGAAGCTAAAGAGATTACATTTCTGGGTTTTTGGGAAAGCCAAACTTGTATACGTCTTAGTTTACATTTGATTTTCTTTGTTTCTGAAACCGCGCTAATATATTTTTCAAATATGCATGTGTCATTTCTTCACTTTACAGAAAAGTGTTCTCTTTCGAAACGCGTTTAGATATAACACGTTTAGATGTTAAGGCATTTCCATCCTCCTGTGATGTCATAGGTTTTTGCAAAATCTGTTATTAATTTAGATTCATACCCAATAGAAATAAATCTTTTGGAAGAATGTTTTTCAATAGGTGTAATGAAAAATATTGTTTAGTGAAAGAATTTTAAAATTAAATATTTTCTATATTCAATCAATTATTTAATATTCATAAAAATGGTGCTAAGGGCAATAACTCCTCCTTGTGTATCTTCATTCAGGCACTTCTAATGTCAAATGGTTTCCCTGATATTCACAATTCATGCATTGTTACAACGCGAAATGTAATAACAACACAAAATGTAATAAACCGGAATTATAACATTTTGCGTCGAAATAAACTCAGAATGTAATAACGCAAAATATAACAGGAAACTTTTAGGAATATTACATTTTGCGTTATTACATTTTGCGTTGGTGTAAACGCAAAATGTTATAAGATATTTTTTGATTATATATTTTTTGTTATTATATATTGCGTCTATATTAAACAAAACACAACAATGCAAAATGTAAAAACGCACTTTTTGGTCAGTTAGGTCGAGAATCATTTTCACACCACGATTATATATTGCTTTATAATATTTTTAGCCGTTTCATGATCTACAAAACAATGCAAGTTCCATTCAAGGGATCAAATATAATGACATTCAGACATGACAATTGTTATTATTGTTACATGTATTATTATTATTTGAAATGCTAAAGGACATGCCCATGTCTTGTGCTTACGTATATTTGAGTAACTAGCATTTGATTCGCCAATTATACCATTGATTAAATTCCGCTGATTTTAAATCATCTTTGCGTTCAGTATCACTATTATTCAGTGGATAAACAATTTTAAAAATAGGAGATTGCAATACAAAAATTTACTAGGAAACAAAAACTCAAAACTCTATGAATCAAAGTTTTATTTATGCATAAACAAAGAAAAAATATATAAAGGACCTTAAAAGCATTTCATACTCCTAACCGACTCATCCACTTCGGCACAATGCCTATTCATATTTTAAAATATTAAACATGGCCGAAGGACCCCCCCCCCCCCAATAATTATTCCGATATATATAATACTAAAGAAAACATAGCTACTATATGCTTGTGCCCCCTCAATATACAAGTATACTTACATTTGATGCTTTGATTAGTTGCCCCCCCCCCCCCAACTGAAACTGCTTTTATACGGGCCTGTTTAAGATAAGTTTAAATCAATCTTTATAATGTTTTGCGTTGAACACAATAGAAAAAAAATCATTATTTTTGCGTTGTTACAGATATATCTTATTACATTTTGCGTTGCCCTCAACGCAAAAATGAAATAACGCAAAATGTAATAATCAAAAAGTACATTATTACATTCTGCGTTAATCTCGACGCAAAATGTAATAATGCAAAATGAAATAATCCTCAAAGTCTGTTATTACATTCTGCGTTGATTTCGTCGCAAAATGTAATAACGAAAAATGTAATAACCCCAGTTTATTACATTTTGCGTTGTTATTACATTTTGCGTTGTAACAATGCATATTTATAAAGTAACAATTATTTTGGAACTTTCAGTATCAGAATTATGTAATTGAACCACTTTTTACATAGTTGTAATAATACTGTTTACTAAAAATGTTCGTCTTTTTATGCTGACATATACCTCTGTTTATTCATTCTGCCATCTTAAAAAAATATGGCAACCTATACATTTTTGTGATTATTAATTAATTTAGACTATATTTAGTAAAAATAAAAGCTATTTTTCTATTTTGAACCCATAAAATAGTAAGCTTAAGTGCTATATTACCTTAAACAAAATATCAAACACGTTTAGATCTGAACACGTTATGGAAGTTTATTTTTTAAACACAATTTTTACAGTGTGATTTTGATATTCAATTTTAGAATTCTATTTTCTTTTCAAGAAGCCATGGCCAGATATAGTTTACTATTTGATCAAAAGTCATGCAGGGCCAAACTTTTGTTCATTTTCGCGCCAGTAAGTATACATATGTATATCTTATATGGTGGCATTAGTGATTAAATACTGTGATTTTTTTCCTTACAAGGAGATCAAGATGTCATATTAAATGTTTTAGTTCGCTGCTGCAACAGGAGTGTCTGTTTTAAATTTTGGTTGAGTTTATCATATGGGGGGGGGGGGGCATAAATGTTAAGAATTAGAGAAATGTAGAATAATTTATTATTTTAACTTTCTGGATAGCCCATGTTATAAACTTTTTGTAATCTTGATTGGGATCACGAAAAAAAGGTTCTGAGGTCACATATATCTTCATATTAATGTTTTCAGATTTTCTCCGTGATTTCTGAGATTGAATCAAAATCAATCATCTGTGAAATTTCAATCAACACCTTTGTATACGTTAATGACTGCCCAAGATCACTGGAGGAATGGACAAAAGCATCCGATATAAAACAGTGCTACAATGTTCCTCAAAACTGTACATCCTCAGAACAATTCCGGTATCACTGTCTTTTGGATCCAAGTAACCAAAGACTGTTTGAAATATGTGCCACGGAAAGAATAATGACAGGTTGGAAATAATTTGATAGTTTATAGTAAAAAATAAAATAAGCAGTCTTCAAAAAAGAAGTATGAATTTTCTGCTTTAATTCACGCAGCACAGTGGAGCCCAGTAAACATTTTTTCAAGGAACCATATATCTTATACATGTATACCTCTGAATGTCTACATAACTTATATTACTATATAGTCAAATTATAGTCCCTATGTAATTTATGCTTTACGGAAACGGTTCTTAAGACTACATTATACCTACTCACTGGATTTGATGCCATGCTCACCATGCAGAGGGTCGGTGCGCATGAAGCAGCGAATGTGAGGTCACAAACGACACCGTAAACAATGATTGCAACGGTCGGGGCCACCTAATTGTACAGTACATGTATGTATCTGAGCAACGAAAACGGTAGGCAAGTCAGCGGATAATTATCCACGCATTTCCACGAGATATAAAAAAAAATATCTAACAAACTACCAAAAGAAAAACTCGGAAATTGTAACTTCATTTTTAATCTGCGCATTTTTCAATCCTCTTCAACAGAGGTTCATTAAATAATGAAAACGGGGTCCTCGGGCACCCTTTAATGTTTTATCTACTCAGAATTAGTTGCAGTTCGTTTATCATACTCGTACAGAAGAAACATCTATGTTTAAACTCGTTAAGAAGGATATAAATAAAAGATTGTGCAAAAGGAATAAGTTGTAGTTTTTAATGAAATCCTCCGGGAAAAAGGAAATTCAAAAATATTAAATTGCTGATCGAGGTGTATTTAAAACTTTTAAAATTAATTTTGATCATTGTATTTAACTGTATGATAAAACTTTTTTCAAATAAACAGAACTGTTATATCTTTATTTCATTTATATTTTTATATATTTTTACGCATATTTTTACAAAGAGTGATAACCCTTCACACACGTATGTTTTAAGTTCAGGCAAAGTAAATTTCCTTATCTTTTTCAAGATCGATTTCAACTCTTAAAACTCTAACGGGCTTCATGGAATCTGTCTGCAGAGTTAATGTCGTTCATAACACCATGTTCACTGAAAAACATTCATTTCGTAAATGGACTCTCTTGTGGTGAATATGTTTTGATTTTGACCAGAAAAATATCAATATTGAACTCGGCTTTGTCTCGGTCAATATTGATATTTTTTCTGGTCAATATCAAACTATATTATTTCATATTTACATGTACCAATGAACATAGTTTTACAGGGTTATATTTACATCTACTTAATATTATCTCCTTTACTAGTATTTCTTTAAAAAAAAAACCTCCGTGATCGGAAGGCCGTAAGTTCGAATGTCGGCCACGACTGACCTAAGGCGATAAAAAATATGTAGCAACTGTTCTTTTCGCCAGGTGCTAGGCACTTTAAAATGAAAGTTGCGGGTCCTTCGGATGAGACCTTAAAAACCGAGGCCCGTGTCACGACAGGCGTTGGCACGATAAAGATCCCTCACTGCTCAATGGCCCTGAGTGCCGAGTAAAGGTCTAAATTTGAAACTCTTATACGAGTGAAAAATTCTCGAATGGGACGTAAAACAACATACAATCAATCAATCTTAAGAAAACCATTGCTGTTTATAAGTCAGTAAACACCGCTAAGCACATCACCTGCAGAGATTTCTGGAGCAGTGGCTCTTCCATCAATGAAACGTACAACGACGTTCATATCAATAATTCAATATTTAATCTTCTTAAATAAATCCTACTTCAACTGATTATTTTTACAGATATAAATATAAACAATAAAATGTCTTTGTTTGTTAGAACGGGAATGAACGTTGCAGCTTTGCAGGAAAGAATTAAATAACCCGCTCACGTGGTTATGTATTTTTTTTCTGTAACAATTGCAACATTAATTCCGTACTAACAACAAAAGAAAGCATTCTATTGTTTAAATATAATTTTTTTTAAAACTAATATCATACATGAGATAAATAAGACATCTATATTTGTGTGATTTTAAATGATAATATATATACAAAATCATACAAGATAGATATCCTTTATACATGTATTAACATTTTTGCTTCCAATGATTTTTTTCCTTAAACAATTATGGATGTTCAAATATCTTTTAAAAGATTTGTATAGTGAGAAAATTACCTTCCAGCAAAACATTATTGTTGTCAATTTTATGTTTAATCTGAATAATTTAAAATATTTAGGTCAGTTCTGTCCAAAGTTCAATATCCACGGTTTCCGGCTTGAAAATAATTATGCACGCCCATGTGTGAATAGCACACCGTCATGTCCATATCACTACAGTTCTACAGACGTCTACAAATGTAAGTATTTGAAAGGTTCAGCTTAGTGATCCACAGTGACCGCTCACCCTGTCAGGTATCAGCTAGGCTCGTTTGAAAATGCTATACAACAGGAAAACGATACTAATTTATGGTTGTGCTTAATCATCGATACAGCCTGATGACTTTTTTGTCAAGGAATTTCTTCGGCTGTGCCCTTCAAATTGATTGACATATCTTTCAACGTGCCTGGGTAATGTATTTATAACATTTATAATATTCCTCACAAACCTTAAGAAATGAGGCCCAAATGCTACCGCCATCTCAAAGTATCCTTCCCCATGTTGACCCAGGTACAAGTACCATCCTGAACGGCAATCCAAAGACAGTGCTGTCAAAGTTGTTTATTAGTATACCAGTCCACAAACCCTGAGACGACGTTGATTTTAGCTATCGAACTTTAGGTCAGGCTCTCTTTTTTTGAGAGCTACCATCACGATATACTGGAGTTGTTTGAACATTGGATTGATTTTGATTTATTTGATTCAGATTTATTTGTTCTCCGAAAATTTACACTTTTATTTTCTTTCATTTTATTATACTCACACATAGAAAATTGAGTCATATATCATCAAGCAATTAAGGTCAGTACGTTTGATTTCAAAATAGTTGAAATGAATCTACTACTCCCCTCAAATTAAAAAAAAACATTAAAAAATTCAAAATAGTCTGCATTTCTATAAACTGGTTAATAATTGTCCTCTTAAGGGAAGAGGTATATAAGAGATATATGACCAAGTTCATCATATTTTGAGATAAACGATGAGAGTTTCCGATTGGAAACAACAAAGTAAATGCCCGCATGCATAAAAATCTTCCTTGTACCTGTCTCAGATTTTCTATTAATTTCCCCTTCTCTGTTTTTTTTTCTCTGACTCATCTTGAATTCCAAAGTTCTCCCAGAAGAACATATCAAACATGGCTATTAACTGGTGGATTGTTAGCGTAATGTACAAAGTTGATCTCTGTTGAAGATATATGTATTTTTATCATGCTGTCTACTTATAGATAAAAATTGTTACCAGCAAGAGTCCACTAGGTAATCATTCATGGCAACATAGAAATGCCACCAGCAATAAATGCTTGTGTTCAATGTGTAGTGATTAAAGATACTTGCATACTTAATCAATTAATATGCAAGAGGTGAAATAAATTATTCAGCAATAATATTGTGTCCCTTGAGTAATATTTGAATATTTTATTAATCATAGAGTTTGTTTGTAATTAACATAGCTTTGAAAAATAAGTGTGCATAGTTCAGTCAGTGTAATCACTCTGAAATACAGTTTAACCAACAGGTCAACCAACTACCTTTCAATCCCTAATTGAAGAGATTGAAAGGTAGATGGTTGACCAATGCTGGAAAGTGGAGAAATACATCCCCAAAGCGCGCAGAAAATCTTGCGGCATAAATTGCACCATATTTGCATTACGGGATCTGTAGCATTATGGTCAAAGACTAAACTACCTTTCAATCCCTAACTGCCGACTCGGCGTTAAACAATAATAATCAATCAATCAATCCCTAATTCTAGACATTTCCTTTAACCAATCTGTATATTTTATCCATCTCCTAACCCTTTATAGTCGTCTCTACAGACCAATACACTCGCTTGTTGTGAATGTTATGCCATCCAACAACAAATTTTTTTTTAATTAAATAATATTACTTATTTGCACTACCTTGTACATTTGTAATGATTCCAGAATTTTCAGATACGATCATCATGATCATGCGGAATTCTCAATTAGTCAGTTTACATCACGTGACATGAATTGTGTATAAATATACTGAGACTCCGCAGTGGTCAGCGGATATTGTTGATGATTCACCCAAAGAGAGAAGAAGAGAGTAAGTTTAGTAAATAAAGTTTACGGTGATTATTCCTCGCCTGTTTTACAGTTTAGTGAGAGGATATGGAAGGCCATTTGAGGTTTGCAAACCAGTTTAAGCCTGCCACGGAAGGTTGACCTCCGGTAGAGAGGCTAGCCATAAGTATTGTGTCTCGTCTGCATTGGCTGAACAGACCGTCGTCCAGGCTGCTATACTCATTGTCCGTCCCGAATAAGGCATTCTACAGTGAGTGTAGTAGTTGAAGGGCTACCACATATACTGCCTGTCCTGAACAAGGCATCCGACAGTATATGCGGTAATCTGAGGGCGACTGGTCTCTTGTGTCAATCATTTATAGTTTGCCTCTGATTATTATAATGATTTACCATTTGATTATTGTTAAACTAGATAAGGTTAGGACATATTTGTATACTAGTATTTCGGCAGTCCGCTTAAATCATACCAATAATTTCAAATCAATTAATGTTGACCCCAAGCCCTGAAATTGACCAGGTTCGATCCCAGTGTTTTATGTAAATACGTTACACATTTAACATCTCTGACCAGTTCCTCATACATGTACCATACCATACATTTGCAATAATGTTTACCTAGTCAATCCATTCATTAATTAAGAAATCACTGTCTGGTTTGTTGGGTATGCCAGGGACATCAACGATAGCTGGAAATGTGGGATGATTTGTATAACTGGTGAAGTCCGTTATGCATAAATTATCCTACGTTTCCAACTGTCGTTGATATCCCTTGCATACCCAACATACTAGACAGTGATTCCTTATATTTACATTTACATGTGAAGTAAAATTATGAATATAAATAGAACATGATGTCTAATAGATTTAAAATACATGAGGCCTCCCATGTTAATTTCAATAGTCCCCGCCCACTGTTGTCAGACACAAAGACAGACTTTTAAAGGGTTATCTCAGAGAAAACAATTAGAAATGTAAATATATACGATGCAATCGCAACTCTGTAATGCGGTATGCAGATCTCCCATCTCCATTGCTTTTGCAGCTATCAAATATCAACATTTGTGAATAATTTTAGGTCTTGTTAAAGTAATAATCATCAAATGAAAGTATTTTACAATTTTAAGAACTTGAATATGTTTGCTGTGATCCTTGGTTTTGAAAAAAACATAACCTATCCAGTCCTTAGTTATATAACTGGAATTTCTAATCTTTAATAAAATGATAACATTGAAGGTAAGCATACATGATCGATCTTTTTTGCAGTTGTTTTTATGTAAGTCACACTGTTGTTTATCATAAAAATGACCCCTTATTTCAATTCCCCGGCTTTGAAATGAATTTTCGAAATCAAGAAAACTTTTTTCACACCATGTCAAAAATTAATGTTACACCGGCAAAGTTCAAAAAGTGACATTTCAAATATTTATAATTCCAGTAAATGTAAAACAAAGGTCATATGTTTTTTACTGTGTTATATTTTTAGCAATGAGAATTCACATGGTATCACCACAGTGAGCATACTCAGAGGCAATACTTCTAAGAAATCAAAAGGAATGCATGATGAGTGAGTTATATGTCATTAAGGAGTGGTTTCTACAATGGGATAGATTATGGGATGCATTGATACTTTGAAACACATTACTAACATGTTGTTTTGTAAATTTTACCTTGACATCCACTTCGTAAATTAAAATGTTTTACACCATTACTTTAAAATTAACTTCTAAATTATATTTAAATCTAACACTGATTCACAAAATTGGACAAAATATTTAAAATCATATGCATGAAATGACCTAAAAATGAAGATAATAAACAGTAATCAAGCTCAAAAGTCCATTGAAACAATACAATTGAAAATCGGAGCAGAACAAACAAGGGCCTCTAAAAACACCAGAGGTGGGATCGGGTGCCACAGAGAAGTAAGCATCCTCTGTCTGAACAGTTGATATTTTATTAAATGGAAGTAAATTTCGACCTAATTTTTGGCTATCCCTCGTTATTTTGACTTAGATGAAATTACTATAGTCTGTCCCACGGTACCAAGGACCTCACTTTTCGCCTCATATCTCAAAATGTATAAATACCTTGGCCTTCAAATTAGGATCGATCGATAGATCATTTTTTTTTCCAAACTTCCTGCATTTATCCGAACCCTCGAGTTCAACCTTTGTATTGACACGGCGGCAAATTCAAAGTCTACGGGGATTTAACATTGCCAAAATGACCACCACTTCGGAAGGGGATCCATCATTATTCGTGATTTTCCGTACATCGCCGTCAGTGATGTAATGACGTAACACACGTTCGGGAATGCTCTGTGCTTACCGATGTACGGAACGCAATACAGCCCGAGACTTTTCAAGTGCCCAATAAACAAAGATTTATCAGCGAAAAAATTGCAAAACAGCGTCTTCGACGTATCCGGGAACAAGTGCTTAACACTACTAAGAAAAGAGGTAAGATTCAACTCATATCTACTTCAGAAGTCATAACTGACAATAGTAATCTGTAATGCAAAAAACGATCGTGGTTACAACAAAATTCAACCAAGTGACATCAATGCTTTTACCAGCTGCCGGTGTCCATGGTTTGAATGTCAATTGGTACAAAAGAAAAGATATGACTCATATTGGACATAATAAACATGAAGCCGAGAAGGGAAACAACATCTATCAATGGATTAGAAAGTGAGTATTTTTCTCCCCATTATATCACTAACACTTCAATTTGTGTCTGGCTCATCAAGTGATTACTACTGGGCAAACTATCTGGTAATTTTTGGTTTAGACTATTTTTTGGGCCTGAAAAAGATGACAATAATACACATATTAACTGGCATGAAGATTCTGGTGAAAAAAAAACTTTAAAGTCTCTGTAAAGTGAAATTAAGGAATAATGAAAATTCAGATGATTTCATGATAATATGAATTCTTTCTTTACATATGAAAAATACATGATGATTTTTTTCATTTCAGATACCTGGCCAAGTATACACTTCAGAAATTAAAAAAAAGACATTTTCTTTTATATTCATATATGTACTTACTGCCCAGACCATCCAGAAGAATGTCCTGAAACTTGTTCATGTTTGTTTCATCCAGATGAACTCCAAACACTTTATTCTGAAAATTTGAGTGGATTGTCCTTTACATGCATGTGCGCCTTCTCATCTTGATGTCTGCTCATCATAACAATGTATTCCAATTAATTAATACCTTCAAATCTTTTTTTGTAATTGATAAAGACATAAGGTAAATGTTGCTTCTTTATTACTATTCTTTAATTAATAATTAGTCCTTCAAATGGAATAAACTGAAAAAATGACACAAATCAGATCAGTGATGTGCTCATTTACAATTTAAATGATCTCTGATTTTTGACCTTTATTGTGTTAGTGTTTTGACTTGACCTTTTAATTATTGTGCTAGAATATAGTTGATTACATGAATGATGAAATTTTGCACATGTATGAATTTTTTGCTTTATTTTCTTTTTGCACATAAATTTGGGTGTATGAACAAAATGGGTCTACTATGGGGGATGTAAGTAATAAAGCTAATAACTTTTTAAAAAAAATCTACATGTAAAAGCAATTATGAAAGATGATTTTTTTTTTACAATACTTGTTTAAGTAAATAGAAGTTTCGAGGGTTGTATGTCGGGTAAACTTACATTATATTTCGACAATAAAAAATTTCTTTAAATAAAAAAGTCATTTTTTGAAAAGTTCTAAAACTAGAAAATTATTATACATTAAATTGAACATACATGTAATCACAGAATTGAAAGTGAATTACATGTGTATATAAAATTGTAAACACTGAGAGACAAAAAAATCACACATGAGAGAATTAGAATAATGTGAGACATGAATTGTGTTAAAGATTCATTCACTGACTGATTGTCCTTTATTTAAAAGTTACAGGATATTTTGAGGATAATGGACATTAATAATAAGAACAAAGTTTATCAAATAGTGGAAAAAGATTCTGTGGATGATGTCAAATAAAGATAAATAAAGGTGCTGACACTTCACATAAATGTAAAATTCTGCTTTTTATGGATCATGTAGGTAGTGACTGCCAAATGCATGAATTAAGTGTTCAAAGTGAAAATAGATCGATCTACAATATGCTACATGGTCATGCATTTAAATGAATAAATAAAAATCTACCAGCTTCTAATAAAAAAGATGCATTGTCATTATAATTAAAAGGTGTATTTGTACGTTTTCTTTTTTCCTAATAGTTTTATGATTTGAAATAAGTTGATAAAAATGTCAGTTTTCGTTGTTTTTTTTTTTCTTTCTTGGACATGTAACATATTATCACTTATGCGCACTTTTTGACTTATTCTTAGCATTTGAAATAGTTCTTTCTTGGGTTTATGTAGGTATGAAATAAAGAAAAGGACAACAACTTACCATCTTGCTACGTTTTCAACAAATGAAGCTGTAAGTAACACGCAGCAGACCATATCAACATCCGTTTCTAGAGGAAATGCGTGACCTCAATATCCACAACTTGTACTGCATTGAATTCGGATTATTCTCTCATTTTATGAGAAAACTCGTCAAAAATATATTTGAATGCAAAACAATACTTGTATTAATCACACTGAATTACTTCCGTTGAATTTTTAAGATTTTTTGTAATTCTAATTTGGCAAGAACGACTACTCCCTCGATAAACTGGTTTCCTGCCCCTTGATCTTGACGCTAATGGACGAGTTTACCATGTTAAATCCCGTAGACTTTGAATTAGCCGCCGTGTCAATACACCGGTTGAACTCGAGGGTTCGGATAAATGCAGAAGTTTTGGGAAAAAATGATCTATCGATCGAACCTAATTTGAAGGCCAAGGTATTTATACATTTTGAGATATGAGGCGAAAAGTGAGGTCCTTGGTACCGTGTGACAGACTATAATAATGTAACACTAGAGGCAATGACACTTTGTACTTAATCAAAGGCTAAACCTTGACATTACTGATGTGGTCTTCTGTTAAAATTTGAACCTGTTCTACCTCCAGGCCTTAAAAGTAAGACTGTACACAATTTCAACTTCTCATTTTTAGATACCTGTACTATAAGACATAACTTTAAATGAAGCTTATTTCATAGTCAAATTTACAACCAGGACGCGATTTTTCACAGGCAAAAAGCCGAATGCTGTTTGTTTGCTTAAAAAAATGTGTTGAATTGTTACTCGTGATACTTCTATTTTTATGGCCCCATAATGAAAAAGGGTGAAGATAACGAACAGTGATCGAATCGTAATCGAAGATTCGGGGGCATGTAGCTTTTTGTCAGTCTGTCTGTCTGTCCGCGAGAACTTTAACCTTGCCCATAACTTTTGATTGTTTGGAGCTAAGGATTTCATATTTCATATTTATGTAACAAGACCTTTCTTCGGGTACCAACATTATTGACCTTTTGACCTTTTACCCACTTTTGCTAAGTTTTACCACACTTTAACATTAGCCATAACTTTGAATGGATAAGCTAGGACTTTCATGTTTGTCAATATAATTCCTTGTTAAAAGACCTTTCCTTGGGTACCAACATTTTTTACCTTTTGACATTGACCTAGAAATTTGACCTACTTATCAAAAATTTTAACTTTGGCCATAACTCTTGCTCCAGAAGAGACAGGGCTTTCATATTTTTTTCACGTGTATTACTTGACGTGACAAGACCTTTCGGACTGTATTATAATATTTGACTTTATGACCTTGAAGTTTGATGCAGTTTTGTGAAGCTTTAATATCTGTCGTAACTTTTATTAATTCAAAAATTTGTGGTTTTTTTTATGATGGACAGATAAGACAAGGCAAAACACACAAACAATTCAGCTACAATATGCCATAAAAATTGCATCCCAACCACTAAAACACTGAAAGCCGGGGACCACGATTCTTGTGAAATTGAATTTGCTTGTTATGTTTTCAATCTCATATTATCACATTTTAATTTCCAGACCAAAGCCACCATTTCCAGTTTATGCAATAATTATCATACCCTGTGTATGTGTGGCTACATTAATCATCATTCTTATTTTTGTGATTAAATGCCTGGTAAAGAAGAGGCGTAAAGGTGAGCATATGATTGATTTTTTAAAAGATATTTTCTGTGTTTTTAATTAAACCTATAAATTGATAAAAATGTTGATAATTTTAGGTTCACCGAGGAACATTCATGAACAAGAAGCATTAAATCCATGAATTCCACAGTTGGAAAAAATGAAAAGAAAATACTTATATGAGAGGACAACTATTGTGATGTTTAAATTTAAAAAAAAAATCAATAAATTCTTTCATTTTCAAAAGTTTACGTATGGAATTCATTTTTTAGTTGTTTTTTTTATTTGGTTGTTGTAGTTGTCACTTGTAAAAAATTTTCACACATATGAGACCTTGACGTCAGCAGCTGCCGGTGAAGGGCTTCAAATTTAGCCCTTTAATTAATCATTGAGCAGTGACGGTTCATTAGGGTGCTATGGCTAAAAATTCGCAACTGAGCGAGCGCTTTATGCATCAAAAATTCTGTAATGAACTATTTTTTTAATATGATGATATCTTTGAAACTATGAAAATTATGATTAACTATAGTGATGACTTTGAAAACTTCGATTTAACTATAATAGTCACTATGACACAATAGTGATCACTATGAAACTTTGATTTACTGAAGCGATTACTATTACACTATAGTGATCGCTATAAAAACGTTAATTTACTATAATGTACTCATTGAAAATTTTGATTTACTATAATAGCGACACTATAGTAATAACTTTGACACTTTGATTTACTCAAGTTCAGATGTACTTTATGTCTCTCTGTGTAACCTGATGTCTCTACACATCGTCGGACTTGAAATGCTAAATGGTATTTGTATACTGTCACAGTGTGACTTATAATGTACAATACAATAAAATAAAACATTAGTGGTTCTTCCGTTTACTATTTCAAAGTTGGTAATTTATAAGAAATGAGAGACAGGCCTTACTGATCTTTCTTATATAATATCTTGTCTTGCCAATCATTGAAAAATATTAGGTTTCGAAAATATAAATGAAAGATGAAGCTTAAGGTATTGCACACAATCTGGTTGAAATTTTCAAGTTGTAATTTCATTAGCCTGGTACCCTGGCTCATCCACGCCCAGGCAAGAGAGCCTCTCGTGCCGCGGAATATACGGAGCATTACAGGGGCAGACTATAATTACATGTCTAGACATCATCCGATATCATTGATAAAAGACAAGAGTTTGTAATGCTGGAAAATACCTACGTTGTGAAATTATACAAGACATTTATCACAAAAATATGATTTGCTATAGGGATAACTTTAAAATACCGTACTATATTCACACTTTGAAAACTTTGATTTACTCTAGTGATAACTTTGACACGTTGATTATGATAACTACAGTCCCTGAAACGTTCTACTTTCCCACTTGAACGGTGAGCGAACGCTGAACGAACGGTGAACGAACGCTGAACGAACGCAGAGCGAACGGTGAGTGAACGATGTGTGAACGCTGAACGCAACTTGGTGAACGATGTGTGAACGGTGAACGGTGAGCGAACGCAGAACGCGAACGGAGCGCAAACGCGAACGCAAAGTGAACGGTGAACGAACGGTGAACGCAAGATGAACGATTTATTCGGAATGCCTCTGATCTTTTCCTTGCATTGAAACTATTCTATTGTATGTATGCCTGGTGCTAAAAAATAACTGAATAATAAATAAATAAACAAATCAATGAAAACTGTCCTAAGAAAGACGATACATGCACATTAAGTAAAATTATTAATTTAAGTTTCTTACAATATTTTCTGCAGATATGTACGATGTTCAAATTCAACTTTTTAATAACACGATTTTTATCGCTGTAAAATATTGAAATTGTTACCGAACTCTGTAGTAATCTAGTTGTAAAATAAATATGTTTATTCTTATTCGATATATAAAATCATTATAAATAATGTGGATTTTAGAAGAGCAAACTACGGACTTATAGAATGAATCACAACGGTTGTAACAACCATATATCTATACATGTATATCCGTGCCAAGGCGATTCCGTGTAAAAAAAAAAATGAGGAAAAAAAAAATATTTTACAAAGGTATGTGGACGTATTGCGTAAATACGCCAGTATTTTAAAATTTTAATGCAATAATATACTGATGTGTCAGTTTTATTTTTTATGATGATTTATTGAGCAGACTTATACATGTATCTGTAGACATTTCCCGGCCGTGATTATACTCGGACAAGATGATACAAAGAGGCATTCATATTATTAATTATATATTAAATTTTCACAACTTGATATTTAAGTAATATGCTGTCATAGTTTTTATTAAACAGACAAATGAGAGAGAGAGAGAGATATTCGGTCCCCCCCCCCCTTCCTCAAATGTTTGTATCTATATCAAATAAAAATTTTTTTCCCAAATATATCAGTCAATGAAAGTAACCATTTTTATCAACAAATCCATTTGTTTTACAGTCATACTCGGTTTTTATTTTCCTGCTTCAAGTTGACACGAAGTCCACGTGCTTGACCTGTCAATCAAATCATTCGACACTGTGCAGGTGTGAACGTCTCGTCACACCGAAGGCAAAGTGTTAGTATTTCCAAGAAGTTTTAAGTTAAACATTTTTTCTTATCATTTCTAGATCTGATTCCAACACTTCTAAAAAATAATAAATGAATAAAATACATTGGGAATAAACACTTGCAATGATTAAACCGCTTGAATTTGAAACATATTCCCTTCCAATTTAAAATATCACCGCCGCCACATGTATATTTTGAATTACTATTGTTTAATGACTTTGTTTAGATGCATGTTTGTTTTGAGACTGAATTTTTTGTGCTACAAAACACATTAACTTCTTTTTAAATGTTAATTAAAATATATAGGACATACATGTACTAACTAAGTAACCGATTTAGGGGAAAGGGAGGGGGGGGGGTCTTAATCATATCGAATGGCAAACATATAAAGATACGGTGAAAAATATCATTACTGGAGAATCACTTTGGTTATATTAATGATAATCATGTTATAAAGGCATTTTTCTCTCTATCTAATTAAAGACTTTATATATGTAAAGTAGAAAAAAATTCTACAATGTATTACGTTTTAAACAATTTTTTTTTCAATCCACACTATCAATTTAATTCGCTCTAAAGATATTTAATTAACTGTATATCCACAGTACTGTTTATAATCCTCAGAATTAGTTCTAACATGTATTTCTGTATTATTTGAAAAAAAAAAATGTGATAGAAATAAATATTTTCGTATTCTGATAATAATGATTCTTTAAACACGATATGTTAATTATTAAATTTAAAACCTGTAAATCCTTACTTAAAAAAAGATAAGTCCTTTCAGTTCGGAGTTCCGAATGGCAATAAAGACTGAACGATAAGTGAACGCTGAACGCAAGGTGAACGCAAAGTGAACGAACGAAGAGCGAACGGTGAACGCTTTGTGAACGGTGAACGCGAGCGCACGGTGAACGCTGAACGCAAAACTGTGAACGGAGAGCGAACGGTGAACGCACGGTGAACGAACGGTGAACGCACGCTGAACGAACGGTGAACGAACGGTGAGCGAACGGAAAAATGGGAAAGTAGAACGTTTCAGGGACTGTATGACACTATACTGATTAGACTGATTACTTTGACACTTTGATTGGCTACAGTTAATAATGTTTTTTTTGTAAGGGCATCGATTTAGCTACCATGACGGAATATGAAATGCACGAGAAGGTTTATAGAAATAAAATCTGCTGCCTAATTTATTTATTTTTTAAACGTTATAAAATATGTTCATATCATAAATTTTATGCATGAAAATAATTTTTGAGAAAAAAAAGAACTACTAGTATATACATGTATATTGTTAAGGTTTTTGTACACAAGCACTAATGACAAAATCTAGAGAGGTGATTCAGTAATTATTTTTGTCTGTATTATTTTTTAACATGGACGTCACGTAAAACCAGCAACCAAATTTTTTACTGCATCGCAGGCAATGCTTATTTTATTCAAATCAGTTTTAAAATGAAAACCATTTATATCAGTAGGAGAATTTAAAAGTTGGAGAAATGTGTCTCGGAGATTTTGAAAAAAGGTGCAAAATCGTTTGAGAGAGTGGAAAATAAAACAGCGTGAGAAATAACCTTGTATACAGTATGATAAGTAGAAACAATCCGAAGAAAATACAAGTTTGGCTTTCCAGAAAGCCCGGAGTGTCATCTCTTCGGTTTCATTAATATCACAGAATGATGTGGAATGTAACTTTTTTTTTACCTATTATACCTAACCTGTGAGATTTTAATTTATTAACTCTAAATAAGGGTGTCTTTAGAAAAAAAGGCTGTGTATAGAAAAATTGTGACCATTGAGAAATTCATGTCAGGAAGTGAATGCATTTTCTTTCAAAAGCAAAAGCGTAATTTACGCTAATCACTGATATTCCACTAAGAGTGACGTGGTGTAATTAATATCAGTAGCTTTGGGATATGGATCCTTATTCATAGTTTTAAAATTCAATCAGGACACTAAGAGTTCTCAGAAGAAACAGATGCCTTTTCACTTTTTCTTTGATTAGTTGCGGTGGGGATTCCATATTATGTCCGCTCAAAAATAAAAACGAATAAATGAAAAAAAGTAACAATCAAAATAAAATTTAAAGATGTTCAAAGCTGTGAAACTTAAGTTTCGTTCAGCTCAGCGTTAGAAAGCAAAAGTAGGGTAGAAAACTGAAAAGGACCACCATTTAAATTTCTTGCAATGTACAGTCTGCATTTAAGTATGTTTTTTTGGGCAATAAAGAATTGGAAAAAAAAGTATGTAGCTGTGTATCCAAATAATTTACCAATCTTCAATTTAAGAGAGTGAAAAACAGAGCATGGTTAAAGTGAAATAATGTTTTCACATGCATTTTTTTAAATAAAGAGATAAATAATAGAATTCAAACGTCATTATTAAATGAAATTGAGTATTTACAAACTTTCGACCTGAATTGACCAGAAGTTTATTCTGTTCCAGAAACAAACATTTATAATAATTTTGGCTTTAACTAAAGAAAAGGAGGAATGCATTTGCTTTCCGTCCATTTATCAACAGAGCAATTTAAAATAACATAGAGAAAATGATAGCAGGTGCTTTAATTATTAATCTGTAAAATTTGAGGCAGGAAAAAATACAAATAAAGAAAATTGCGTTTTTCCCTCAAATTTTTTTTC